ATAGAAACGTAATGTGGGCCACATAGGTATTTAAAAATTTTTAGTGGTCACATAAGCAACAACAACAAAAAAAAAAAGTAAAAAAGAAACAAATGAAATTAATTTCACAGTGCATTTTATTTAACCGAATATATTCTAAGTATTATCCTTTCAACATGTTATCAATATAAAAATCATTGAAATATTTTTACATTTTTTTATGTCTTCAAAATTTGGTACTTAAATAGATCTCAATTAAGATGCTAATTTTTCATCAGAAATACTAGGATTGTATTTGTATTTCATAAAATGTATGGTTGGAATAGTAGACTGACCGGGTATGTGAAATGGTGAGGGCCCAGGAGCAGGCTTCACGTAACCCTAACTTTTAAAAACATGCAGCTACGGATTGTCCGCGGTTGGTGCCCAGGTGCCGAATAGTGAGGGCCCCTGTGGTGGGAGGCTCTGCTTTAACAGGGACAAGATGAGGAGAGGAAGAGGAAGGCGCCCGACCATGGTAAACACTCTGTGACAGCTCAGCTTGCTCCACAGGCCCCACGGCGCCAGCAGGTGAAAAGCAAAACTAAAACTCAAGCAGCGTTTTGAACAGTGGGGGGAAATTCAGGAAAAACACCAGATCTGGGCCGTGTGTGAACCAGCCACCTGTTCTTTGGTTTCAAATTCATGGAACTGAAGAGGAAGAGAGACAGAACATGCAACTCCCCAAGCGGTGTGACTGCTTTCTGATTCAGCCTGGGCTCCCGACAGCTCCTCCTCGGAAATCGAGTGAAGCTCAGAAATGTAATCCTATTTCCTGCTCATTTGCTTTTAGCTATTTTTAAAAAATCTTTTTGCAGACCGACCAGGACATCACTGACTGCAGGGTTTTATATCCACTCTCAGACAAAAGTCAGAAGCAAAGCCACTTACCTAGTTTTCCGTTCAATACATGAAAACCTCAGACCTTCTGCCGTTGCTGATTCAGAACGGGAGAGCTTTGGGGGCAAGGACAGGAAGAGACTGACTTTTCCCGTCCCTGGGGACAGAGGGTTGCTGTAAACTAACACCATAAGCACTGATCCTGGGGCAAAAACTTACTGTCTGTTGAAGAGCACCTTGTTTTCAAGTTTTAAGCCCCCTTCACACAGAACAATCCATATGCCAATTCCGCAGCATTCTTATCTGTGCGCTGTGCTTCAGGATGTTCAACGGTAGCACCGAGTTGGCTGTTTTAAATGAGCTAATGCTGTAAGCAATGAGAATAGTTCCTGGAGCTTAGAAAGCACTCAGTAAGTTGGTTTCTCCCATTTCCTTAGAGTCACAGTTATATATGAAAATAGAAAAGCCAGATGTCGTTCTCAAATACTCTCCCTGTGGGGATTAGATGAGCAGGGAGAATCCACATTGAGACTCAGGGACTGTCCAGGTAACCTGCGGCGAACGGAGGGAGGAATCTGGAGTGGAGACAGAAGGCCATGGTCCCACCCGGTTCAGCTGGGCTTTTACTTCATAAAAAT